GGGCGAGGAGGGGTGGTGGGTTGCCGGGGCTGGCGGCGGACGGGCGGACGGAGAGAGGTGCGGGCGACGAGGCTGCTGGGCTGCGCGGCGTCAAGGGCCGCAGCGGGGGGCGCCTGGCGGCAACGCCGCATCCGCCAAGAATTCGCCAAAGCTTGGCATTCTGCATGGTGCGCCGCACGGCCCTTAAGTCGCGGTCGCCCAAAGAGGGTGCCTGCCGCGTCACCCGTGCCGTCTGGCCGCACCTGCCACTGCTGGTGCGCCGCCTCAACCAGGTCCAGCGGCGTGACCTGCAGGATGCAGTGCGCAGGCCACAGCAGGGGCGAGCCACTGACTGCAAGCTTGCGACAGGCGCGCCGCCATCACGAACAGGGCACACCCACCGCACGCACTACGAGCGGTGACACCCCAAGCACCTGGCCGGCCTTGAGTAGGGCGATGCACTCCACAGCAGACAGCCTCCACAGGTCCTCTTTGCTTTCGGACATTGCTTGCCCTCCTAAGCTCCTTTTCACGGGTGTGATCTGACAATATGGACGCTACGCGTTCAGAAGAGGAGCTGTCGCACTGACATAACTTGGGAAATGCGACACTTGCGGCGCCCAATGATTGGACCCAAACCCTGCCTCTCGAAAGCAAGTCTGCAGTGTTTTTGAAGTGGTGACACTGCAATGGTGCGAGTTGGTTGTTGCTGGTTGAGGCCCGGCATCGCACGAGGCACTTGAACAGGATGTTATATGACTTATTCCCCCAAATCTCAGTCAAGCCAACACCTGCTACGCCAGGTACCACAGCAGGCCTGTTCAGCGCTTGACCACGCACACGCGTGAATGTTGACCAGACCAGCAAGGAGGGTGCGTGCCTTGCCCACCGCACCCCATCCACCCAACAGACTTGCGTGCTGCTTTGCTCATGGCGCAGAACCCAGTGCTGCCTAAAACAGCGTAGGTATGGATCAACACGTGGTCAGGCGCCAAGCTTCCCAGCACCTCCTTGTGCTGTTGTGCCCCCAGCTGTCGTCACAATTTTTCCCGCTCCGCATCCTGCACAATCTAGGCCAAGCAACACTGCGGATCAGGCGATGACGTACTTTTGTCGCCATAAAGACAGCGCTGCAGTCCAGCAGGGGCCGCGGGACTCCCGCTGGTCGGCACAACTCTGCACGGCGCGGAAACTCTGCCCTGCAGAGGACCTCCCGTCATCCTGCCGCGCGGGATGATGCATGCACAACCACTGGCTGGCAGCCGCTGCGCCTGGGCGTTTGGATGGGTACACACCTGCTACAACAGATGCAGGGGCGAAGCGGGCTTGATCAGCCGGCAATGTTGCTGTCCGATTAGCCGCACTGGGATGTGGCAGGCACCCCCTTTCGCTTCGCCAGGCGACAGGAGACCTGGGAACCGCTTCAAGGCAAGGGACGGCCTTACGGGGCGAAAGGGGCGGCGCCGCAACAACCGGACCGCCCATTTACAAGGCCCGCCCACAACAATGGCTTGACCTGCCTGTGGGCTCGTACCGGTGATCCCGAACGAAATACACTGCTAAGAAAGCCGGCGCTTTGAACGCCGGCTGCCCTGGAAAAATGGGGGGGTCACGGTCCCCCTGACGCGCGTCGTGGGGAGGTCGTCGCGCGTTGGGGGAGCAGCCTGCCCTGACACGATCCATGCCGTTGGCCCAGTCAGCAACTTTCTGTGCACAAGCACATACCGGCGGGTGATAGGACAACCACACGCAGGACGCCGCAGCTGCGTTCTGTGCTCTGCACATAGTAGCGGGTGCGGCGCCCAGGCGTCATACGGCCCCAGTGAAGGCGGCCGCTAGGACTGCAAGCTGAGGGCCACCGTGTGTTGCCGCGGCTGGGGCGGCAGGCGCACCCAACGCCCACAGACGCGGCGCGGCCCTTGACGGTGCAGACAGATCGACGTTGTTGATTCTTGGTGTCGCCTGCTGCTCCAGGCCCGAGTTGGCTTGAGGGGCCGAAGACATGTGTGTGCATGTGTCATATGAATGAGTGGATTGAGCCCGGACTGTGCTATTTATGGTCTTTTCGCGGAATCGGGAGCGTCAACCGCACGTTTTCCGCTCGAAGGTCGGTTGGGCGATCGCTTCGCGGAGGCAACTGGGACCGCGGGGTCAGGCAGGAGCTCCTGGAGGCCTTGGACCACGCGTGATTCCCACCTGTACGAGTTCTGAAGCCGGGTTGACCCAGGTTTGACTTGTGCGGGCGATGCAGCAGCGCTGCGCACGAGCGCGCCGCAGTACTGCTGCTTGCTGCTGCGCGCCGCCGTACCCACACAGCCCATCCTTGCTGCCAGTCCGGAATGCTGTGAGCATGCCGGGCTGCTTGCAGCACTTCACAGAAGGTAAGGGTCACCGTCAGGCAGCGCAGCCGGCTGGGGAGGCCAGGCGTGTCAGCGGCGGGTTGGGTGTGACACGCCCCCGCGCTTGGACATTTGCCTGAAGCCGACCCAGAAGCTCCCAATTTGGAGCCATTCCAGGCTGCCAAACGCCTTGACAATATTACTGGCCGGCTGGGCTCGTAACATGCGCAGATTTACATTGTCAAACATTCTTGAAGCCATGGCAACGCCGGTGGCGCTGCCGAGCAGCATGGAACAAATGACCCACTAACCGACTGCAACACGGCACGTGGGCAAGGGGATGCACTCGGGTGCATCTATGAGCGACAAGAGATATGGGCGCGAGCGCAAGGGCGGGAAAATCAGCGCTGCACAAGAGACGGCGACTCACATGAAACGCTTAACAGTCGGTGTTTGCGCTGCGTAAAACGCGCAGCGTAGTTGCTTCCAATCGCAGATCAAAACTTTAATGGCGGGCACAAAATTGGATCGCTCGACGGCGGGCTCGCTTCAGACCAGGGACACCAGGGAGGGCCGGCCCCTCACGGCGCTGCCCGGCACAGCAACCGCCCGGCTTCCGCAGCCAAGGGCCGAACGGCCGGTACGCCCCAGGGCCAACGCCATGCGTAGCCCAACGCGCCACACCGCCACAAGATCACATCCAAACCGAGCCCTGCAGCCGAGGCGCAGGGCTGCAAAAATCCCAGGGGAACCCGGCGAGCGCGGAAACGCTCCGTATCAGGGGGCCTTGACCTGGAAAACAAACTGCTTGTCCTCGGCCCTCTCCTGCTGCTGCAGCAGGCCCTCCTGCACCTCCATCCACTCGATGACACTGTCACGAGACACCCCCAGCGCCTCCTCGAGCGCCGCGCCGTCGCCCACCAGCGACCGCACGTCCAGCTCGCCCGCGCGCGGTCCGCCGTCGGCGGCCACCACGCGGCGGAAGCTGGACACGAGCTCCCCGAAGGACGGCGCGCCGGCGCCGCCGGCGGCGGGCGGCGCGCCGGCGGCGGCCCACTCGCTCCAGCGGCGGCGCATCTTCTCCTCCGCGGTGAGCGCGTAGCTGCGCGGCGCGGTGGCGGGGTGCGGGGCCGTTGAGCGGGGCGACTGTGTAGGGCAGGGCTAGCGCGAGTAGACTCCCTCGCAGCACACATGAGCGTGGCCCTAGTCCCCCCCCCCATCCCAACCCTGTGCCTGCCCCAGTACCCCTGCCGCGCGCCGAGCCCACGCGGCGCCGCGAGCGCCGCCGCACCTGCCGCGCTGCACGCCGTATGGGATGGCGCCGCGCCTCTTGTAAGGCGCGTCCCTGTAGAAGTCTATGATCTCATAGAGGGCGCCCTTGAGGAATGAGCGCGGCACCACCAGGTCAAGCAGCCCCTTCTCAAGCAGGTACTCCGCGGTCTGGGGAGGGGTAGTTTGGGGGTTGGATGGGTAGGT